TTAGCAGTTGTCACCACAACTTGATTTTGCAGCTTTGAGGCTTCTCAGAATTCATACTAGGTAAAGCAGCTAATTCTTGGGGTTCACTTGCATATACCTACATGCACAAAATGGAATTTCAGAATGGTAATGAAGACAACTGTCTAGAAATCCCATTCTCATTTAGCATGTGCCAGTTTTACTGTGAAATTTAGTACATCAAATATTTGAATATTCTCAGAGTAATTTGCTGAGCAAATGCGTTTCAGTACTGATATCCAGACTGTAAAACTGGGATAGAATTTATGATCATTTTTTATTTTGTTGGTTTGTTTCTTAAGTAATGAATAATGGCATTATTGTTTCTTAAATAGTATGAACATAACTGCAAATGTTCTCACTTTTTGTTGAAGGGCAAACCAGTAGCAATGGCAGCTATAATCTTACAGGACCATGATGATGTCTCTAGACCAAAAACTATATTGAATGTGTAAGGAAAATCTAATCTGTTTTCCTTTTTTTTTATTTTCCACCTCCACTTTTTCACTTTTTCTTGCACATGTAAATACTATGGATTATTTGAGTATTTGCAATAAGTTGAGAATCAGACGTTTTGAAACACTTGCGGGTACACTTTGCTACAAAACTAATAATGAGAAAATATAGAAGAAGAAGGAAAGGAGTAAATCTCAAGCTAAGGAGAGCTGCTCTATAGGACCCTTGTAAGGATATTTTTTATAATTTATAACAAATAATCCCGTTCAGAGTAAAAGAAACTGTCACACGATTCAATCCGCTGTCTGTCCTTTTAGGATAGTTTTCATACTTGGAAGAGTGTTAAACTTGAGGGAATGGACATGCCCAGTGCACTAAAAAAGTGCAAAGATGATGTTACTCTGCTTCTTAAATGTGCTGTGATATTAGAATTGTCAGTGACTGGATCCCTTTCTAAAATGGAAGGTAGGGAGGTGGAGTAAAATTTATTTAGCTACAATTAAACTTTAAATTATTAAAGGACTTCCATCATGATTGTAAGAAATTCTTAGTGCCTACTGGACTTGTTTGTTGGTTTTTTTTATTTAAAGAAACTCTTACGACACTGCTGAGGCAAGTAAGGTGCAACCTAAAACTGCCTGAAGGCATCGCAGTTGAGAGTACCTTGCACTGGGTTAGGTCCCCTTCTTGACTGCAAGTTAAGTTTGCTTTGAATTATACAAGGCCTAGGCTAGACTTAAACCAGTGTTTCAGAGAAGCAATACAAGTCAGGACTCTAATGCTTTAAATTTGTACAAGTTCAAATTACAAAACACTAAGATTGATAAGTGAACTCTAATCATGTTAATATGTCCACAAAACAGTCAATGTAAATTGATTCCTTGAAAACATAAAGGTTTGAGAATACATCTTAGGTCCCAGAGGTTGATATTGTATTTTTTCTGTTGTGCAATAATACAGTTGAAATGGTATCACTCAACAACAATGCTTTTGATACTTGAAAAAAAATTACTGGTTATTTTTCCTTACTGTGGAATATTTGCACTGTCTGAACTTTCTGGTTAACTTTATACCTGTTAAACTTTTTAACTGGTGTTAATTTATTGTGCTCAGTATTTGATATGCTGGTCTCCTGTCTGTGTAAATGTGAGATTTGTTATATTTAATTGAATATTTTTATCTTCTACACAGTTGTTTATCTTGAGAGTTTTTCTTCTTTTAATCTCTCTTCCTGAGAATTAACTGAAAGATGGCTTAGAAAGTCGATGCTTACCTACTTCCTAACTGTATGCATTAATTAAAGAAAGGGGCTGTAGTGCTTTGTACTGACAGGGAAAAATCTATGGGCCTGTTGGAGCTCTTGTGGTCAGGGTCACCAGTACCTGCTGAGTAGCTGCATCAGTGAATCCAGTGAAGTAAAACTGCTACTGCCTTAATAATCTGAGATTTCAGTCGTAATTTCTTTGGTGTGCAGCCCTTCAGCTGGCTGTGAACTGCAGAACTGGATGTGACTTTGGGGGGTCGAGTGGGGAAAGTACTCGAGTCAGAAAAATGCAACGTATTGTATCCCATCAGTGGGTTAGCAGCTGTTAGCAGCTGTAGCCTTGTGGGAACTGCCAAGGAATGTGTCAAGTTCAATTTAAAGTGACAACAAACTGGTAATCATCATAAAGAATATTTGAGTAAAGCTGACTACCTCAGTTGTGTTTGTCTTTGCGTTCAGCTTCTAGCCTGCTGTGAACTTCCAAATCTTAAGATTAATTAAGTAAAAACATGTCTCAGGTTTCTAAGAATAAAGTAAATACAGTAGGAAGCATAAGCCATTTTTGAGTGTAGAACATAGCTAAAAATGTAGCTTTATACCAATCAATTGTGTAGCCTTAAGTGTAGTTTATGCTGTAAAAATCAGAATTGCTTTTAAATAAATACGAAGTTTGCAGGCAGCTCCGTTAGGTGTCCTGCCTGCAGGTGGCCAGTCTATCCTGTTGCATCTCTTATGCCTGAAAACTTTGAAATGTAGCCCAGTTAAGCCTTTGTGTTCTTACCAGAGTAAATGGGGCACCAGGAGCCCTGCAAGTTGTGCTAAGAGATACATGAGGTAGCTCACCTGTAGCGGAAACATTTTCAATATATAGTGTCCACAGTTTTAATTTCTAAAAAAACGTTCCATGTTTGCTTAGGGAAATAAATTAGTCTTGTGGACTTTTCTGACCCCAGTAGTTCAAAGCATTTCAATTAGAAGTCGAGGGAAGTCATACTTTAGGAACACATTTTTCTAGTGTTTCAATTACAAGAAATAATGATAGCTTTTGGCTGGAGAATGCAGCAGGTAAAACCACACTGAAAAGCAGCAATTCATTCCTCCTGAAATGAGTTGAGGTCTTGGGAAACTGTCATGGCCTTTGATATAGGTTAATTACTGAAAGAGAATCATGTCCCCCATTAGTTGACTGTCAGTCCAAAGCAGCTCATTCTTTCTACTGTGCATTAGTAAATTGGGAAGACTTATGTCTCTTAAGAGCAGACATCTCCACAATTCCTCATGAGGGCCAGTTGTTTTTAAATCTTCCTGTACTGGAAATCTTGCTGCTTAATTGTATTCCAATAGAGAGGGAATGGTATGTCCTTTCTTCCCCTCATTTCCAAGGAGTGACTTTCAGCCAGCTGAGCAGCTCAAGGTCTTTTCCCTGTGAGATTGAAGCCCCTGTTTTTGCTTGTCTGGATGTGTGGGTGCTGCTCATGTGTGTGTGTTGCTCTTCAGGATTTGGGGCTATTTGTACACCGAATAATGTGATCTTACAGTACCAGACTTTCAAAGTGCAAATGTTACCTTTCAAATATGAAGCTTACCTTGGAGATAAAACAACTGTTTTGAGAGAACTGGCTGACCTTGAACATGTGTTTCCTATTTTGGTACAGAATGTAAATATAGAACAAAGTATTTTACACTGATTTTGGCTGGATTGAGATATAAGGGCTAATTTGTGTTATTTATGGAGTAAAAAAATTGCTTATTTTACCGGTTAAAAAAAGTATGTTATAAAAAAAAGAAAAGACTGTTCATCAATAAAATGTCTGTAGAAAATTGATTCTTTTTGTCCTTTTCTTTGAGAGTTGCTGATGATTTAACTGCAAGAGTAAGCGCAGTAAAGGACCACTATTACAACAGTCATTTATTTTGTAATAATGTTGAAAAATGGAATTACATCAAGGCTGCATATTGATCACTTTATTAAACTGTTATTTGATACACTTTGAATGTAAAATGTTCTATGTTATTATTAGCTCATATATGACTTATCAGAAATTCAGCCTGACGGTGAAGTAAGGAGATTCCCGAATTCTCTATCCCATCCTCATGTATTTGATACTTTAAAACTGTGCAATATATGTTATTTTCCCACTTGAAATCGAAGATCATAAATTCCCTGCTTTGTGAAAAGGATTTGGCCACATGATTCCCATTTCAGTGGAAGGAATGTTGGTGTTGCCCTCTGAGCCTTGAGCCGTTGGCTGTGACTGGAGTCTGAGTGGGAGAAGCTGAGCTACCTTTGCTGCTGTCCAGCAGGGATCAGGGATGCTGCAGCCATTGTTTGGTACTTGAGCTAGCTTTGCTAGCTGTGGAGTGAGATTTTACAATATATTTGTAAATTACAATACATTCGTATATATATTACTCTGATAATATTCCTCTATAATGAGTTGAAATGATTTTATAATCTTTTTTCTTTCCTCTAAGCAATCTACCCGTGAATACATAGCTTAAAAAAACCCACTTGCCTTCCTCTCTGCTATTTTGAAAAATCAGGTAAAACACAGCAAAAGTAGGTTACTCTTCATTTTGTTTGCCTTCTCTCAAAATAGGAGTCTTTCAAAAGGTATTAAAGCTTATAAAATGCACCACAATTCATTTTGTAGATGAAAAACATCAGGTATGTAAAGTTACCCAAGTACAACTATAAGGTTTAAAAACTTCAATGGTTCTAAGGTTTACGCCATTGGTAGCATGATAAAAAAAAAACCTGGCATCTGAACCAGGTTGTGTTTAAAATTCAGAAGTAGATGGAGATCTCTCTTGTGGAGTGTAAGGTGCATTGCTTAATCAGGATCAGGGCATTACTCTGCAGTCTGGAAAGGCGTGGGTTGCTGCACTGGAGTCAGACCAGTGGAGTTTCCCAGTGGAGTTAAAATGCAGCCCAGTTTCAAATGGATTTCTGTGCGTCTATAGCGGTCGTTTTCATACTTGTATAAAAGTCAAGTATCACAAAGGGTTTTTCACTGTTACTCGTTACACCCTCAAAATAGCAGCAGTGCAAAAGGTGCAAGCTGAGCTGTGCATCCATCCTCCCTGCCAACCTCCACTTCTCCCCTCTCAGCTGGTACCAATTCATGACGAAGACTTGCTGAGAAAATCTGATGCGAACAGAAATGTGTTCGGTTATTCCAAATTTTTTTGGAATACTACTGATGACTCCTAGGGTTCCAAATTTGAAACAATACCCCCATCCAAACCCCCTTATTTCTCCTTTCCCCCACACTTAAACCATTTTATTTATACATCTGCTGAACACTTGTGCGTGTCTGAGCACAGTAACAATATTGATTTTTCCAGAGAGGCTTATACTGGGAAATGAAACCAAGGAGGGCCTAAATGTCACAAAATAAAAAATGTTATTTGTGTTTGAGGGGAATTATGGAATCCCAACATTTGCCCTTGTGATTGCATCTTATTGCTGTCGGAGCTTTTTTTTTTTAAACTATAATTTGTCTGTTTGAATGACTTCTTCAGTTTTTCTGTATTTTGTGCTGTTCTGTAAGTAGCATTTGTAGGCAAAATGTTGAGATTCTCATGAGCTATATTGAGATCTTGTTATGGAAATTAGAAGGGGAACTGTTTTCAGTCAACAAGTAAGTAATTCTAGGGAAATGCCCACGTTATTAATTCATACTGTTAAATTTTACATTCATTTCTTATTTCTTGGGTATAATGTTGAAATTAAAGGCAGATTTTTTTTACCCCAGAACAAGGATAATGAAATACATTCTTTGCTGCCTTTACAGCAAGTGTTGTCACACAACCTGTTCCCCTAATTCCTGTGGAGTGGGCAGAAGTCTCGGGAAGGTGACAATGCAGCCAGGTGAGGAGAGGGGATCTCTACATGTGCTCTGGGTGGTTCTGCAGGCACATGATGAAATCCTGGATCGCTCGACCCTCGTAGCAGATCTTGTAGATGGTTGTAAATAATGGAAACCTAAAAGAAGCACATAGCAATTAAAAAGTTGTTAAAGTTTATATATATACCTTTCCATTCCATTTTAATGGAAAAAAAATTTTGTTGTTATATTGAAAGTGGAAAAATTTTGTCTCTCTTTGCAATATACTTTTAACTTGGAGGTGCCTTTACTGGAAGACTACATAGGCCAATGAAGAGAAGCTAGGGGCAAATCTTGGGAGTGATAGCAGAGAAAAGCTATCTAGGAGACAAAATTCCTATCCAATATTTTTTATTTAAAAACAATCTTGAATTGCATGTTCTCTTTTTCCTGCTGTGTGCAAAATGGATGTATTATTTGCAGTCATTACTGCTATCTAAAGGACTACAAAAAATGAAAATGTCTAATGATTTTCTTTTCATGGCTTAAAGGATTCTTTTCCTTTTATAAGCTGAATTAGTCATTATGTGGTAAAAAATGAGTCCACTGAATGACTTGGAGCTGAGTATGTAACTAAGTGCAATTATAGGATAATTATTGGATCAAGTTGTGATTTAAAGTTCACATTCTGTGAAAATGAGCTTCCCTTTTCTCTCTCGTTTTTGAAAGATAAAGCTACTCGAATCTTCTGTATCTGTTATAATTCCAATAGGGTTGGGTTTTTTTTAAGTATTCATTTAGCTGTGTTTGACCTCTCAGTACTGCTAATGGATGGGAGGGAATAGGATGGAGGGAAGTTTAGGTTTTCTGTTGTGTAAGCTGAGACAAAGGTTTCAAGTTATAAATCTTATATCATCCCAAACAATTAGAAGTACTTTTTATCTCAGCAGTATTTGTGGTACTAAAGCGTTGATATCAGCACATGTTACCTTTTAAGGCATGTAAAAATTTTGATTAGGAGTATCCTCCCAGATTTTGTACTGAGATAACCAAGTTAAGGTTTGAACTGAGAGCAGGACTGCTGCAAGCTGCAATGGTGATACACTGAGAACAAGAAACCCTTTGATCACAGATTGAACCCACACATCATATCTGCAGGCTGACTCTGTGTATGGCCTTCAATCTTGTTTGGGGGATGGGGATGTCTGGGAGGCTCCTTTACATTATTATTTCTTTTGTTTCCTATGTATGGGCCGTTCACTTAAGTGTTGGACTCGATGATCCTTGTAGGTCCCTTCCAACTCGGAGTATTCTGTGATTGTTTTCCTTGCATTTCCAGTATGTGATCTCTCATTTCTCTGTCTTTTCTTAGACACTAACAGTATCCCCTAAACCCTCTCCATGTCTGTGACTTGTTTCTTCTAATGCTGCTCAGCCTCTATCCTATTCAGCTGACCATGGCAATGAGGAGTCAGGCCAGGCTCTACTAGTGGCCCAAGTTGTAGAAAATAGTCGTTGCAGAAATGAACAAGATAATTAAACACAAGTACTGCTAAGGAGGCTATGAAACACTTATAATTTGCTGTTGATTCAGGTGTTTTTTTAAATCAAAGCACTTACTTATCCAGCATATTTTTCTGTTTCAAAATCTTGTAGACTTCAGCTGAGGTCTGAGGACCTTGCAGCTTTTGTCCATTCAGCATCTCGTTTTCCAGTTCCTCAATGGACTAGAAGAGAGAAGACTGATTACTTGGATCAGATGGGATACTGCTGTGATACCAGCAGTTATCAAGAAGATAAACAGCTAATGATGCCTTTGTAAAACACAGAAGGATTTCTTCATGCATTAGTGTAAAGTATTTTAAAATCCTCCTTACTTTTCCTGTGCGAGCAAAGGCTTCTGCTACTTTTCTGTTGCGTCCCCCGTAGCAGGTAGTGATCAGATCAGCAACCCCACAGCTTTCCAAAAAAGTGGCTATTGACACTGGTCCCTTGCAGAACATCTTGGCAAAGGCCACCATTTCCATGAGGCCCAAGCGTATCACTGCTGCCTTGGTATTATCACCAAAACTCAGTCCATCACAGAACCCAGCTCCCACTGCCACGATGTTCTACAAACAGAAGAGGGAAGGAAACAGTCAAGCAAGGTGTGCACTAAGCTCTAAGAAAATCCCACAACTCTGTCTTCATCAGAACAAGGTTCAATTTCCAATGGCCACAAGTTTATCTTATGAAGAAAGGGGCCAGGTAGTGAGTGTTGGACAAAAGTCGCTGGACTTCTAGAAAATTTTTTCTAAAGTACCTACAGTTATTCCCATGGGCAAAAATCAAAGCAGCTTGTTTTATACACTGATATTGCAATCATGTAGCATGTATGCGATTAATGTTTTGTTTTTCTGCTGGTTCCAAGTCAGTACTCACTGACCTTTCTTCTATTTAACTATTTAAACTATCCCACACCTTTCTAGGTTTTCTCTGAGGGTTTCTGATTTAAGCAGGCATGGGTTCTATGCAGATGCTGCAGTAGATCAAATTTTGGGCTTGCCTACAAAAATGAATTGCCCTTTTCTACAGCTCTAAACATATTTTTCAGGATCCTAAGCACCTTTAACAACTCCTCACCATTGTTCTGCACCTCTCCCTTCCCACCTTCCACTTCCAAATAAAAAAGCAGAAAGGATCACAGTCTGAAGTCACTTTCAGCACATATAGAATCTCACTGAAGTGCCCCCTCATTGGAAACTTGGTAGTTTTGGTATTATTTCTGATTTTCTGGTTTCCACATTGAAAAACTGGCACGTGAACTATGTATCTTGTCTGCACTCATTCAGTCACATGGTGACAGAAGTCAAATTAGAACCCCTGGCTTACAGAAGACTCAGGTGAGGGTAGGATTTGGCCCTAGTGGAACCTTCTGGTTCGAAATCACTCACTTTTAAGGCTCCACAAAGCTCCACTGTATCAGAGTCAGGCACCACGGTAATCCTGAAATTGGGGGTCTGCATTAACTCTTTGAAGATTTGCCCTTGTGTTTCATTTTTGCAGCCTGTGGGGAGGAAGGATGAAAGTTAGAGTATTTTCACATATTTCAGAGTGCACACAGTCAAGCTTAACCTGACATAAGGTTCCAGAGACCACTTCAGGTTTTGTGATCTCAGTAACTGGGTGTTGCTAAACCAGAGGTTTGTGCAACAGCAGTTCCCATTGCTGGAAGCCAGTGTTAAATGTAGGCAAGCCCCAGAGCATTGACCATCATCGCTTAATAACATTTTAAAGAGCTTGAAAGTAGATGGCCCCTAATGCAGCATTCATTGTAAAACCACAGACCTTGCAAAAGATATTATTTACAAACTGCTCTCTGTGCTTTCTGGTATAATTTCTGCTTTGAAAATGTAACGTGTCACTGCTAAGTACTGTTATGGAACACAAATGATTATTGCCCTATTTATTATTACAGAAGGATCCACAGATAATGAAGTTGAACGTGTGCACTGCTGGAAGCCTTTTCCTACCAGTTCTCCGGAGGCCACATATCATGTCTTTACAGTGCTTGCCCAAGGAGAGCCCCAAGTGGGAAAAGGATTGAGGTTTGCCTTGATCCAGAGAGCCCATGGCCTGCTGGGCAAAGATTTCTGATTTGAGTTCCACTTAAGTTTTTTAGGAGGTAGCTTGGTTTCCTTGAGGGAGAGCTCAGCAATGATTTTACTGGCCTGGGGCACCGCACTCCGGTGTGGTAGCTGGGGGGTTTCTACCCCATCCCATGAGAAACTTTAGCTTTGCTTCTCATTCTTCACAATACCAATTCTCTTTGCGGTGGCTGTTTCTGGACTACGTGGCTTTCCCTGAGGACAAAAGCAAGAGGCAAAGCTCTTTGCACAGTGATCATCACAACATGGCTTCAAACCAGGCCAGCAGCAGTTAAATTCCTCCCAGAAAAATTAATATAGCTCAGATCTCCTAATCATATCTGGTCCTATTTGGGCCTAGTTGCTCTGCTGGCAACAAATACCCAGCTGGTACAGTTTTCGCTATTATTGTAACATTTGCAGGGCAAAGGAACACTATTGCAACACAGTTTATTTTTCTTTTGCCTCCTCAGCTATAGAAGGATGTAACTTTAATTTTGACTGACTTTAAAAATCAATGGGTTTTAAAAACTACTGGATGAACTTTCCAAATCAGGTCAGACCCAGGTCTGGGAGGATCTGAGGCCGTGTCTTGGCAAGCAGTCTGAATGGGAGGAAGGAACAGAATGTTACTGGGAATTTTTTCCAAAGAAAGAAATGTGAAGATGGAGAAATACACCTCTGGGAGTGTGAGCACATAGGAGTTTCTGATTACACTTCTCTATCTAGACTGTGTAGTGTATCAGCTGCCAATGTACTCAGTGTTGAGCTCTAAGAAACAAAAGGTGGCTCTTGCCAACTCCTACAGAAACAGGACTAAGCTGTGATTTTTTTAATGGATTAAATTAGCTCTAGCACTGAAAAACCCACTGTCATTTTGAATCTGTTCCTTCTAGCACTGAACTCTCTGGAAATAATCCTGCCTCCCTGAAGGAGCTCAGCAGGCACTGCTCCACTCTGGAACCACCTGGGACTTGTCACATCCCCCTGCTTCCTCCAGATGTTATCTTGTTGCCCAGCCACAGGTGATACTAAACCCCAGCTACCAGCTCAAATTTACTCTTTGCAATAGTTACCAATGGTGGTTTCACAGAACTTCTCGTCAGCCACTTCCTTGGCTATGTTGGCCCCCATAAGGACACTGATTTCTATTTTCAGGTGCTCTCGAATGAGGTCAGAGATGAGCTTCAGGCCATCAGGACCCTCATCAATCCCCTGAATAAAAGACAATAGTCAAAGCCAAGGTATTAGAATAGGAAAATGACAGCAGCAGACCACTGGTAAAGTAGAAGGTATTCTATTGCCTGCAGCTCTCTGGTTTTAATTGGAAAAAAATGGGGTCTTATATTCACTAGTGTTAGCCATGAATACAAATACCCTGGGTTTGTACTTTCATAACTGCAAAATCAAGGCAAATTCAGGGAGAAGGAGTGACAGTCGAGGTAACCTTGCAAGAGGCCTCACATCCAGTGCTGCTGTCCCAAGGCTTGCTTTCTTTGGTTCTGTGTTTTTCCTTTCTGTTAAATTCCTGTAGTACAGAATCAAATCTTTAAAATAAGCCTATGAGCAGTGGCTTCTTCAGTATTAACCTAATTGCTTCTTTGGTATTGAGGAGTATACTGAACTGTCTTTTTTTTTTATTTATTTTAACCAATCTGGGGGGTTTTTTGGCTAAAGAAGGTAGTAAATTTGCAGGAATTTCCTTTCTTTCCCATCTTCCTCTCCTCTGCTTACTGCTGCTTGTGACATAATTTCTATATATGAAAAGGGAAGAGCTGGTGTTGCAGTCTGAAAACTTGAATTACATTTCCTTCATTACAACTTTAAATGGGATATTTTCTGTAATGCAGTGTTTTCTGTAAAGAAGTGTTAAGACTATATTCCTATGCCGTGCCTCTGGCTTTTAGTTTGACATTCTCTTTAAAATATTAATTCTTTTTTAAGATTACAATAATTTGGTACCTCTAACCTTAAAAAGAGATTCCTTAGTTCATGCCAGACTGAAATTGCTTCAATTTTGCAAAATCATGAGTGTTATTGTGCTGTTTAAATGCTGCCAAGAACAGCTTTAGCATGTACTTGGAAGAGGCCCTTCAATTCAGCACTCTCAGTTAAGAGTTAATTGATGCTGTATTCTGATGAAGATTTTTTTTGGCAGCAGCACCAGCTTTATGCAGCTCTCCCTCTGTCCATTTTCACCTCCATGCTGGTCCAAATGGGAACTGATCCAGGCTAAAGATGATTGGCAAAGACAGATACTCTTAGCCTGGATGGGTTGCCCCATCCTTCCCTCTCCACAGCCACGAGAGCAGCAGAAATGCTGGCAGAGCTAGGTAAGATTTAACTCTAAAGCTCCTACCCTTAAGCTGAAGCTGTTTATTTACTCTACAGATTGGGTATTGTTGAGACAACAACTTACCTTGATCAGGGAAATCCCAAATGTCCCGGGTTTTATCTGTCCTGCAATCTGCTCACAAATTCGTCCAATGAATTGATGTGGCAGAACAAACACTAAAATATCTGCCCCACTTGCTGCTTCAGCCACATCTGGTACAGCCACCTGGGACAAGAGGGACAACCAAAATGAGCCCCAGGTAGGAATCCTCAGTCCTTGCAAGATACCAACATGCCAAAGCCATGGCAGATGCAGTGCAAATATCCTTAATTTTAACCACATGGCCCTGTGGCATAGCTGCCAGCTCTCTATGTGAGTAGCTACAGATCTCTTCTGAAATATCCGAAGCAGCCGAACTATCTTAGGTTTGGATTTTTTATAATTTTTTTTTTTTATAATGTATCCCAGCCCTGTGTGGATAATCTGGGGAAGATGATGTAATTTCTAAACTTGTGGTGTCCTGGGAAGCCCCTTTACTGGTTCAGCTCCTGGAGGTGATTCCTGAATATACTGAAGAACTCCATATGGTTCTGGAATAAGTGGTAGCACAGGGGAGCAAACTGGGGTGGTGAGGCAGAGCCTCTTCTTAGAGTCTTTAGTTTCCATACATCAACGGCTGTTCAATAATAAACTTTACAATCATAATATATATTATTAAAACTAATATAAATAATAAACTATATCAAAAGGCAGAGATTATCATCACCTTTGGGGGGTTATGTGACTTTGTTTTAAATATATAGTAACTTTACCAATAGTTACAATGTGCTTAATGACTTGCTGGCTGTATGTTTCTCCAAATACTGGTGTTACTCAGAACAATTCAAGCCAGGCCACAGTGGCAAGGGCAGGTGAATTTGAGCCTGCTGGAACAAGCAGTTTACAGTTGGAGAAAACATCACACTTGGATGCAGCCTTGGAGCACACAGCTTTAAGCAAGCGCGATTCCCAGCGGGAGAATCAGAACTGGTGCCAGCCAGGCTTCTTCTCTGGGAAAACAGCAAAGTGGAAGCGGAGCAGAGGCAGGCAGTGCTGTGCAGGAAGGGCTCCTGTCTCTCCAAAATGCCGCAAAGCAATGTAAGGAAAAAGTGAGCTTGTTTGTTTGGGTATTTTTTCTTCTCAGCCAGAAGTGGTGTGAGGGTCCCTCCAGGCTCTACTGCAACTAGTTCATTTCTGCTGGTGAAGCCTCAGACTTTGCTCTAAACAGGGTGAGGCTAACCTCAAGTGATGATGACAAGCCTGTTGATCTGCTAGAAGGCTGTAAAAACAACAGTGACAACTGTTGTAAAAACACAGTAACCCAGGAGAACTGTGTGCCAAGTTCAAGCACCGGGAGTGCAAATATGCAATTTGCAGCACTAAATGGAGTGCTAAATATAACCACTCCCAAGCAAGGAGACCCACCACGTGCAGGGTTTTAACTTCCCTTTACAACTGCAACTGCTCCAGAAACGTGGCACTACTTTCTTTAACTCACAAAGCAGTGGCATTTGGCAAAACCTTGAACAGCCAAAACCCCTCACCTCACTTGCTTCAGTAGCAGTAAATTATGTAAGCTGAATAATTTAAGTAGAGATGCATAACTTGGTATATTAAATGTCCATGAAAATTAAATACCTTATATTTTTGTTGGAATTTAGAGTGTTATTAATTATAGCTATCCTGAAATCACCCACGAGCCGATAGCGCGTTACTCATCTCCTTGTAAGCCACAGCCCTTAGCTGTGCTGTTGATTTCCTTTTCAGAAGAAAGGAGATCAGTAGCTTTCCCTGTTTTCCAGAAGATGCCGTGGGTTTGAAGTATCTCAGCTCTGTGTAGACAGATCTCTGCCTGCCATTTCTAGAGTTGTGCTGATGTCTGCCAGAGAGGAGGATGGTGCGTCACCGGCACAGACACGAGTGTTTGAAGTTGCATGTGACATACGAGACAAGGAGAAATCACAGAAGTGAATTATATTCCAGGGAGTTATATTGGAATGAGTTAGGTGACAAACCAGAATGAAGCAGTGGATTGCTTCCTACTTTTAATTTTTTCAGATGATGCCTCCCTTATTTAAAAAAAAAAAAATAAAAAATTCAGTGATTTCTAATTTTTTTTTCAACTTACCACATTGTGGGGTATCTTGTATCCAGGCAAATATTTAACATTTTCATGTTCCTGGTTGATTATTTCTGAGAGTTTTCTTCCATTGATGATCTCTTCAAACACCCACATCTTGACAGTAGGATCAAATCTGTTGGATTTCTGGACATTTTTGCCAATGATTCTGGCTATGGCTGATCCCCTTAAAAAAGAAAAATTAAACAATTAAAAGGTGAAAAGTAATTTTATTGTGAATTGGAAATGCAAGTTACTTTAAACATCATAACTCATAAAAGGCCTGTGCTATACAGCTGTTCAGGTGCTTGTGACATTTTTCAGAATGCTTTCAGAAAGCTTTATCTACTCCCCTTCATCAAAAGCCCCTCAAGTTTAAAAACAAATAAAGTAGAACCAGGGGAAACATCACTGTAATAAGGGATCTGAAGTCATATCAAAGGCTATAGAGCAGGAGTGTGATGTACTAACAACAGTACTAAAAATACAGTGTCTGGGATTAAAATGTCTCCCGCTTCTCAAATAATTCTTTTTTTCCTGAAGACCAAGAAATGTAAAATAATCCAGGTGGTAAAGCAGTGCTGAGTGATCTCATTGTGACAGCCTTTGTGCATTTCATCTAAAATAGATGCATCCCACTTTCCTATCCATAACCAAGGAGTTGCAATAAGGATTTTACGTAAGCGCTAAATCCTCAGAAAAAAAACAAACAACCCTTCAACCTGGTGGTTTCTCTTTATTTATTGTTCTAATTATCACTGTAACAGGATCTGTAATACTTGCAGCCTGAGGATATTTTAACCATCCAGTTTACTGGAGTCACGCTGAACATTTTTTAATCTCAAGTCAGACAAAAATTTTATTTCCCCATCACCACTGCAGCCTTGCAAACACTCACTTATTTTCTTGGCAAGAGAGAATTAAAGACCCCGCAGAAAATATTGGAACTATTGCTTAATGCTCTTTAAATTATATATGGAAGAGGGGTGATTATTTTTACTCCTCTATTCCTTCTCTCCATTTTAAAGCTACTTTAATTTTTCAAATATTGCTTATTTTACTAACACAACTGAAAGAGAAGTTCCAGTTGCAACACTTGTCCTCTGTCCCACTTGTAACACACCTGCAAGGAGAAACATGAACAGGATTTAGCTGTGGTATGTTTTCTGGAACTCATAAAGGTCTTGAGAGTATCCAAGACAAAGTCCAGGTATGTCTGTGCTGTCAATGATTCAAAGGGCAACTTCATTGTAACTGTCTGTCCTCGGCTCACCCATATTTTTGATAGAACAGGTTTACACAAGGTTGAATTGCTCAATAAGTAGTAAAAGCCCAAGGGCTTAATCTTAATCTTTAATGATAAAGAAATCCTATAGAGATCAGTGATAACTATATGCTATATCTGGAGCTGTCATAATGCTTTAGTTAGTTAATTAATTAGTTAGGGCAGGTTTTTTGTTAGTTTGGGGTTTTTCTTTTTGTTTTCAGATTTTGTTTTGTTTTGTAAGGGTTGATTGGTTTTGGTCCTTTACAATGTTTAGGGAAATGTTTTAGGGGTGAACCTTTACTGTAAGAGTTCTGCTGTTTTGAAAGAAAGTCATGCAGTTGTATTATACATTCATATTATTTATAGACATATATTCATATTATTTATAAAATTACTTATATTCTGGTTTTCTTGCCCTGCTATCAACAGAGAGCACAATCAGAGCTTGAGGTCAGGATGAATTGTGGCTCTGCACAAGAAATATGTATTAATAAGAAAAGGGTTTGGTTTTTTATAAACTTGAGATCTAAATTCATTGTCCATGTTGTCCAGCACAACCTGGATGATGAAATTAGACCTCAAGCTTATCCATAAAAATAACTTTCCTAGCTATGTACCAAGAACATATGATTTTCTGTTTAAAGCTGTGGATTCCAGCCCTAATTTCTGAAATCTTGAATGGGACACACAACTCTTAGTAGATAAATCTGATCTTCTAGCAGAGCTCTCGTTACCACTGTGCTTGGCTGTTGCCACCCAACTATTTACCTATTGATAAGCCATCAGTGAAGGCATCTCTGGCATAAAAGTAGCTCCATACATGGCAGTATTTTCCTTTGGTTTCTCTTTAGATGAATGAAGATTTGGGGGAGAAGTGGTTTAATGTTTAGAAAGCATTGAGCAGTCATCAGGGAAAACACCTTGCCACAAAACTATCCAACAGTTCAAAACCTGATCCTCTCTTTTATTCAGTCCATTTAGAATTCAGTCACCGCTGATCAGCCTTGGTAAAAAAAATTGCTTTGTCTGTCAAGGCTGTGTTCTGTACACCACACAGGCTTGGCAAAAGAGGGCTGCTTATGCAAACAAAACCAGGGACACTCATGTATAAAGACTTTGCCATGGTTTGGTTTATTTTCTCCAAAACTCAATTCAGTGAAGATTAATAGAAAGCAGAGAACTCCACCTGGATAATTTTAAAAAGTAAGTGCAAACTGCCAATCAGATTTTCCCCCCTCAGTTATGTTAATTCATGTTGAAAGTGATTTACACATCGCTAAGAGAAAGAAAGCTTTTATCTGGAGATTTCCTATCAGTATAATGAGAAAGCTTTGATATAGAATAACTCAAATAAGACCCATTATTTACGTCTGTGAACATGGAAGTGTTTGTAGCATATATCAGATCTGGTGAAAAGTGGAGCTTAACAGAGCCCAGGAAGCAGCTGGTCCCTTCCCTCTGCACAAGGCAGGCAAATATACTTAAGCCATTCCTAATAGTTTTTCCAAATAGGTCTTAAAGACCCCAGCGGCTGCAGGTCTCTTCCCCAACTAGCCCATCCCAGGACTTTGCTATCCTTAACATTAGAAAGATCCTCCTCAAATTTAGTGTCTTTCTTACTGCAATTTAAGCCTATTTCTGTTCTAGAAGGGTGTCATATTGTTTTCCTTTAGATGCTTGAAGATTATGTCTTCTTACAGTCTTTTCCTTAGAAAACCACACAAAATTTTTGAAATTATAGTATTGCTCAGATTTGAAGGGATCACAAGAGGTCTCCAGCACGAGAACATCACTGAGTTCAGATGGGTTGCTCAGGGCTTTGTTCAGTCGACTCTTGAAAACTCTCCAAGGACCACCTCCACTCTGGGCAACCTGCCCCAATGCTTTATTGTTCTCATAGTTGTTTATTTTCTCCTCTCTTTAGATATTGAGTCAGAACCTTCTCTGGTTCAATTTATGACCACTGCCTCCCATTTTCCTTCCATGCACCTCCATAAAAAGCCTGGCTGTCTGTCCATGTTGAAGACAAGAACCCAGCTCAAGCTGGATCTTTATTGAGGACTCTGCAGTCCCAATGAATCTAATCCTGGGACAGCTTTTGGATTCTGAAGGGCCAGGCAGTGAACTAAACCTCTGTTTTCAAAAGCAGATAACTGAGCCATGATTAACATAACCACAAACCCTCCTGCACCTGACTGGTAACCACAAAATGCAGAGCAGCACTTGCTTCACTCAACCATATCACTCATGAGCCTCCTGGCAGTGTTGACTTAGCAAGTCCCCGTGACCTGCTGAACTTCTGCAGCTGACACGAGCTTTTGCAACATTCTGTATCACGTGTCAACCACGATTCTGAGCTGCAGGAAAGCCTCAAGAGCACAGATCTGAACTGCCACCCAAATATTCAGGAGGAGCATGAGAAAAAAAATGTTTGCCAAAGGTAAACATTGTATTTCTACGTTGTGCTAAAACAACCTGTTCTGCCACTTGAGGCTATGAATAGATGTGATTCAGACATCAGACCACAATGTTTATCTCCTCCCTGAGGAATTAACAGTCTATGTACATAGTGGGAAGCAAGAGATGGGCCCAGGCAGACATGCAGTATGAGTAAGTAGATAATACTAAATGAGCTGGGGTCTCAGTATCTCTGTGGTAGCTCTTTCCAAGTTTGTAGGTGCATGTGGAAAAACAGAGAATTTTCTCAAGTACATATCTGAAGGATTACAATTAAGCGACTTTAAAGAATGTCTTATGGGAAGGGGACAGCCTGGGAAAGGCAGGAGATCCCTGCTTGGCAGTGCAGCAAGAGAATGATGAAGGTGACTGTGGGCTAACCAAAGGCTAAATTTGACTCCCAAACATGGAGTCATGGCTGTTGAGGGGCTTGGAAGGAACAATAAGCTGCCTGCACAGGCAGGTGAGGGAAAAGACAGCGGCAGGGAGAGGGATGCCTCTCCTGAAATGATGTGGAAACAAATTACAGGGCCAGAGAAAGCCAGATGTGTGATGATGAGTTCCAGAAGAAGACTTAGCTGTGCAATTCCATGTGAAAGGCTGTGTCTGAGAGTTGTCATGCCCAAAGAGCCTGCGATCCAGCAAGAGCATGCACTGAGGGCTCAGAAAGCGGTGGATTGCTTTTGCAAGGCAGGAAGGCAAAGAGCTGTGTTTTAACTCTGCCGTGTTCTCAGCAGCTCACAAGCAACCACTCCCTCACCTATTGATTTTTTGACATTTGCTTCCACTTAGCTGTCAGATATTTTTAAAATCTTAAGGAGCTTTCTCTCCTTGTACAAAAACAATCCCCAGAACTACCTCGAGGGCTAGGTTCGCTAATCCCAAATGCATGCACATACATGTTGGTCTGTTTGTTTGTGCTCAGCTTACAGAAGATGTAAGAAAAGTAAATGCAAAGTCCTGTGAGATGGGTTTGCTGACTTCAGTGGGGTCTTTCAGACCCAAGGAGCTCTAGAGAGCTGTGCTTTTGTTCAGGCTAGAAAGGACTGAGCAGTAGCAAACATGTTCATAAAAATTGGAATAAGGATAAATGGGAGACCTGAACACAAGACTGTGTCTGGACCAAGATGCAAAAGGACATGCTGAGTAGGATGGAAGTGAAAGATGCCCATACATCGTGGCTTTAAATGAATCCTGTGCCCCAGTTCCTTCAGAGCAACACAAACAGCATCACCGCTCTCCTCACTGCCGAATGCTACAACCTGAACTGCCTGGGCCCTGCCGCAGGCACACACAGCGACAGAGCTGCAGCTCCGGGCCTCTCTGGAATCTGTCGCCAGGATTTAAGAGGCTCGCATACCTGGGTGTTGCAGGAGCATCAGTCTTCCCAGCTCTCACGGGCTGGTGCATCTTGGGGGGACGACGGTCCCTGCCCCAGGAGCCCACAAGCCGGAGCAGGACGGGGCCGGGGTCGCGGTTTCAGGACCATGGAGATGATCCGCTGCCCCGGCCCCGCCGCTCCCCGCACTCACCTGTTGCGAAACCCCCGGCCGCGGCGGGGCGAGGGAGGAGAAGACGAGGAAGGAAAGAGGAGAAAAAGGAAAGAAATGGGGGAAAAAAAGGAGGAGGGCAAAGGGAGAGGCCCCCCCGCGCTGCGACACTCACCAGTTCCCCGAGCCGACGATGCAGACGCGGAGCGGCGACATGGTGCGGGCTGCGTCCCGCCCGGCGGGGCTCGGCTCGGCGGGGTCGGTCCGTCCCGCCCGCCAGCACCGCCCCTGCCGCCCGGCCCGGCCCCCGGCGGAGCGGGAGGGACGGGCGGGAGCGGGCGGCGGTCCCGGGGGCAGCGCCTCGTCCTCCCCGGCTCCGCCCGCGGCCCTGGCGGATGCTCTGCCCGCGCCGGTCCTTGCGCCGACGGACTGCCCTGCGATCGTGCCCTGGAAGGGGGAATGGGGAAAATGGTGCTTTCTCCGAAATTTACGGGGATGAGGACCTGCGTGGGGAAGGCAGGGAGCCCGGCACTTCTTGTGGGGTGTGCCCTTCCCGTCCACCGGCAGCCCCGAAGGTTTCGGCAGGGTGGGTAACGTGGGACACAAGCTGGGCCATTCGGGGCAGTGAGAGACATGTCAAGGTCCCACCTGTCCTGCCCCACAGGCACGTAATGGTTTAAATCCTTTTGACATGTGAGGAGCCCACCAGGGAAGGGGTGAGTGCATTTGCAGAGCCAGATTCAGCTGATAAATCATCAACTACATCACACTAACATGGGACATCAAATATAAGTTATCTGCAAGAAAGGACAAACCAGATTGTTGGTCCATTTCCCCTAAACGGTTTAATCATGCATAACACCCTACAAATGAGCACATTTTACCTTTCAGCCTTTTAGTACACCCTGTCTCCTCTTCAAAATGTCCTTCTCTCTCATTTTTGAGCCAAAGAGCTGCATTTGCCACCTTGCACTCCTGCTTCCCCTCATCCTGCTGTGCCCAGGCTCCCTGCCCCACCGGGGGGCTGTAGGCTCAGCAGTGACCACATCTGCTGCCCTCGCACCAGAGCTTGGCTCAGTGGGTTCCTGGCTCCATGGGACACGGACGCCTGACACTGTGATTCATGGAAGGAGGCTGGCTGCCAGCTTTGGAGAAGCCTGTGGGTGTTTCTGGAGGTACACATATGTTCATCTTGCCTGCTGTTAGCTTCGATGGCTAGGCTATTTGGTGCATCCTGATGGGGGTGAGTGTTTGGGGACTTAAAGAAAAAAAAAGGGCAAAATCCTGCAAAACAGTATTTTGAGAAAATTACTGGGAGAGGTTGCTGAAAAAGAAGGTGTAGCTGGGACGCTGGGCACATGTGAAGCCTGATGGGGACTGAGAGAGGAGGCATTACCTGGAAGCACAGTTTGAGCACAGCCAAGGCACAAGAGCCTTTTTCTTGTTCCAGGTACATTTCCTCCATTCTCCCGCTTGTTCACCAGGATTTGCTTCTTCCTCTGTGTCCCTTCACTCTCTTCTCCCTTTAACTCACCTTCCCCTTGTGAAGAAGACGTAAAGCGGAGGTGAGGAGGGGCCATCATCCTTCTTGCCCCATTCAGCCCCTGAGACTTCTTTGCTTGTTGCAAGCTCTTCTGTGCTGGTGAGTCCCCAGGCCCCATGGAGGGGACACACTTACCAGAGCACTGGCTTCCGCAGCTAATGCATGGCAGAGAAAATGTCCCTGTTCTATACAGTAAATAAGTATTGCAAACTGTAACAGTTTCATCTAAATTAATGTGGAAGCTTTTAATTACAAAGGGGAACTGTATCAGTTCAGTGGTGTCTGGACTGATGGATTTATGTGCCCTCCACGTTCCAGTTGCACTGACCATTTGGTGGGTGCACAGAAGCTGGCAGGGGTGAGACTGGCAGGGGACAAGCAGGCAGATGGATACGGCGGCACTTGTGAAGAGCAGAGGACACAGCCTGGGACTGTGAGTGCACGCATTAGCTTATCCATCTGTGACACTAACTTGTGCTGCTGCTGAACTCTCCTCTGGATTTGTGCAGTCACTGCTCCATGGAGATGAATAGAGAACTGTTCACTTCCAAAGGACATTTCAGGTGGTCTGCAGCAAATTTTACTTTTCAGGTTCAGATGTCAAGGCTGTCTTTGTAGCAGTGTTGTGTGGGGACACAGAATGGCCCCGAGAAATGGGTCTTTTGTCAGATTCCAGAGCCCTGGAGCCATATAGCACACACTGGCGGATGCTGACAATGGTTGTTTTATCAGGCAATGAGGAGGATCTGCTCTTTCCCATGAAGGCTCCATGTTTGTTTTTCACATAAGCCCAGGAAGCTATCTCTGAAGTGTGAGTCATTGGTATGTAGCAGACATAAAAACTCAGTCTGCATAGCAAGGAGCCTATAGACAACTCTCTCAAGGCCACCCCACCCAAGCTCACCTGATCTTCTGCACCTAATGGGTCATGCACACGCAGCAGTCAGAGATTACACAGCTGAATAGTTTTTCTCTGCAAATGGAAAAACCTCACTGTCAGTGCAGCAAATCCAGGGCAGCCGATGGGAGTTTTTTCTATACCAGGTGTGGCTTCTTTCTGTGGTGGCAATGCAATCTCTGAACACCCTGAAAAACGTGACTGAGAAATGCCAAACTCAGTATCCACCTTAAAACTGGTTAGGTTTTTTGCCCCCTCTTCTCCTACTGAGAAGCTGTTTGAGACCATTACTCGTCTCACAGTGAGAGCCCTTCTCCCTGTTTCATATCCAACTTATGCCCATCTGCTCTTAGCACAAACGCTGTCTATAAATGTGCGTGATTCTCCCTGGTGCTTATTTTCCCTCTCTGCCTGCCTAAACCCCAACTGTATTTACAGAGAGGAATCAGATCCCATCTCAGCAATCATTTTGCCAAGCTCAGCAAGACATGCTCTCTATCTGTTCCTCTGATTATCTGGACGTCACTTCTCTGTACCTGTTCCAGGATGAGTTCAGGCTTGCTGAACACCAGTAACCTGAATGATGCCCAAATATTTCAGCTGAATTTTAGCCAGTGTTTTGTATATATTTACTTTCTGTTCCTGAAAATACATGGCTTGCTACATGTAAGACTGCATTTATCTTTTTAATAACTACATCCTGCACATGCTCCTCCTCTTCTGTTGTTCATAGTGGATAAATTTTAATTTACAGCAGAAATGTTATCAGTCTCTCAGTACATGTCTCTGTACTGTATGCTGTTACATTTCATCCCATGTCTCTTATTAGGGCATAATAATCATATAATTTGTCCTGTAGGATTTCCTCTCCGTTGAAAATATCATCCAACTTTGCCATTAGCAAATTTTGTTACCTCACTTGTCATTTTTTGCATCAAGCCAAGTAATGAAATTACTAAGACCGATTCCTCTAGTTCTATAATTTTGCTCTCAGCCCCATCAGAAGTTTTCACTCCCAGTTCTCTTGCTTTGTCATTTTATAGTGCTTATGTTAATTCTCATCTTCTTGAGTTTAACTAATAATTTTCTAGGTAATACCAAGTCAAATGCTTTACCAAAGTCCAGGTTGATAAGATTTATTATTTTTCCTTTGTTCATATATGCCATTATCTTATCAATATGTCATATAATGTGCCTAGACTACACTTTAACCCATTTTCTGCTTCCTTTCATGTCTTTTGTTACTCATGGCTAACATTTCCTCTAAAAAAGCTTAAAGATTTCAGTAATAGAGATTATTCAGTCTTTAGAAGTGAAAGGTAGAGAGCTCTTGAGTTTTGTGGCTGTGTCACACAGTAATTTCCATACCCATGCCCTTTAGTCCACTAATCGTGCTGCCTCTGCTCTCCGTGGTTAGTTACATTTTTTTCCTTCTGGAGTCTGAAGCAATATATTCCTTTAGCTTTTAGGTATCTGCTGTGCTGTTGTTGTAGGCAATACTTTCCTTTGTTTCCTTTGCAATCATGCAGCTAAACCCCTTATGTTTCTGTTTTGTTTCCCTGTGCAGGTCTGGGGTTTATTTTGATTTTGAGCTGTGCCTTTAACTTTGGGTGTTTGAATGACAGTTTTCTCTGCATATCGCTCTGTTCTCCTTTTTTTTCTAGACTTTCTGCGTATTCCTGAGATGTCCTGCACTGTCTGCATCCTGTGAAGTAAGATTCAAGGAGCCTGTTCTGTCTTGTGACTACTTGAAAGCAAAGCAGAGCGGGAATTTTGCACTCCCTGGGTCGTGACCAGACAGTAACACTCCTTGGCATCTTAAGGAATGAAGGCTTCAGGGTTTAGGGGAAGAGGAGCTGAAAATTAAAGTTTTCCTTTTTTTTTTTTTTTTTCCTGAACCTTGTGGGCTGATGTCAGTAGGACTCAAATATTTAATTTCCTCACCTGTGAAACTATAGGTAAAGTTAAAGTTGAGGTAGGTATGGAGTTTAGAACAAGGATTCCCAATTTCAGCCTGGGTGTGTGAGAGGAGCTCACCTGTTGTGAGTGTCCAAGAAAACCTTTCCCTGGTCGAGGTCTGCAGACCATAAAAAACCTACCACTTCAGCTCTGCCCAAACAGCAAGCACCACAGCTGACCTTAACCTTACACTAGACAGTCTGATGGACTGCACTGGCCTCAAAATCACTTGGACATTACAGGCCCCTTCATTTCCACTGGAAAATTTTTGCACATATGCTTTCCCTGAATTATATTCTAAATGGAAGATTTGCATGGTTTTAAATGTAATTTGTATGCCTAATTAATTTAAATTATTGATAGCAAACAATAACCATTTATACTGAGGTAGCATGTAATATATCAAAAAAGCTTTTCCTGGATATTAGGTACAAATAAATAATGTCAGTTTGTGTCCCTAAGAGCTGAAAGCCCAAAATACTTACAGCTTTACAGCTTCCACACGGACTTCTTGCAATCTGTTTTTATTGACTCATGGGATCTAGAAAACAAATCAACAGTGAAGTTTTTACTCCACTTATTTCATTAGTTGAATTTTTTGCTGTAGGTTCTGATCAGATTATATAGGAAGAACTTTTTTTTTTCACACTTAAATTAGTTCTCCAACAAGGTACTTAGCAGAAAACGACTGGATTTTAGCCCTATAGAAATCTACATAATTCCAAGTAATTTAAGGAATTCAAGCAGAACAGACTGAGAGGCCAATTGTAAACCATCTGTACTCCTTAGGACTTTCAGTAATCCAACAGAGAAGTTTTTCAGGAGAAGCAACAGGATTATAGCAGAACTGGCCAGAGAGAAACAGTACTGGTAACTTAGAGTTAATTTTCTATTAAATAGATATCAAACCCCAGGCAACTGAACTACAAAGACCTTCCG